CAACACATTGATTCTTTTCTTTTTCAGCCATTCTTTTGTAGATATGCTGCTGTGTTTGGGATCTTTGTTGGGTTGCATGAGCAAGTTACAGCCAAGCTTTGGTTATGGGACTGATGGGCTCATAGTTGACTCTAGAATACTTTGGTATACAGAGGAGTTCATTGTTGATACAATGATTGCAAGATGCCCAGGTCCTGTGGCTGCAAAAGCAGCCCAAATCATCACTCCTCTACCGCTGTGCTTGATATTTGGTATGAGGTATTTGTGCGGATATGCTTTGTTTGTTTTTCTCCAAACATGGCGCTGTGCATCATAGCCAAATATCTCCACTTTGTTGCAGGAGTCTTGAGGTTTGTTCACATGCATTTTCCACACTCCTGGGAAGACTATCAGTTGTTTTCAGTGTTTTCCACTTGTGAATAATCCTTCTGACTGCACAGTGATGGACATCAAATTGTTTGGAAATAGTCTTCCAATTGCTCCCAGATGGATGTACAGCAACAATTAATTCTTTGAGATCATTGCTGATCTCTTCCCTGTTTAGCATTATATTAACAGACCAGCAAGCTTCAAGTGCATTTGGTTATCAGCACCTGTTTGCTACTTGCTTACTCTTAATTCCTTTCAAAGTTAGGGTGCTACTAGTTTTGCACACTATCTTTCTCTATTTTGGCTTAATTTTTTTTAAATAAGTAATGAAACAGCGTAATATGTCATGCACTGTTGTTCATTTGAGGTTGCATTTACCTAATTTTAAGACTTTCTAAGCACCAGATGTTTTTTATCATTATACCCTAATATGTAAAACCTGATAAAAAAAAAACTGATAGAGGCTATAGTGGCTTTTTACTTTGACTGTAAGTTGCAATAATAATAATAATAAGTGCAAATCCGACTGCATGAGAGCAACTGACAGGTATAAGGTGTGGAAAACATGGATGATACAGTTTGGTTTGTTTGCTTCCTTACAGTCTGATAAACAGAGAGATTGTGGCCCACGTCTATTCATGGCCCAGGCTGGTGACAAAAGATGCGGCCTGGACACACATTCCAGTCTGCTTCCGCTCCAGCACACAAGCTCAATCCCAGGGATTTCCCCTTTCAGAAGCCAGAAAAGGAGGCTACAATATCACCTCCTTTAAATCGGGAGACAGGATGGAGGTACTGCTGTCATTCACTCTCCAACTCATTTCCTGATTTAGGTTTCACTGGAAGTCAGGAGCTCGCAATAGAAAAAAGGGGCCAATTAGGCCATGACTGTTTTTACATTTTAAATTTTGACTTTTTCTGAAAATGTGCTGATCTACTAAGAAATCAGAAAAGCTATTCCAATGGCATTATTCTGAACGTGAATAATTCTGCTAAAAGGCCAATCATTAACAGAGATAAATAGAATCTTGATCTTCTTGGAAACCTGTGCGTCTCCTCAGTAGTGAGCCGTTACAGTTAATAATTCCTAAGCCCTGCAGTGTAGATTTAAGTGACCAACAATGGAATAGCGTCTTATTACAATAAGGACTGAAATTCACGACTATTTGACAACTCAAGCAAGAAAAGATTGAAATAAGGGCTGTTCTGTGCTGCACTCACTCTAATGGCATTTGCTTAGTCTTTTGGAAACAACAGAGCAGGCAGAGGGACAAATCAGGGCTCTAACAATAAGCTCTAATAAAGACATTTCTCTGGGAACTTAAGCGTGATCGGCGTCACTATCAGTTGCTGTTTATCTCATTTTCGAGACTCCTTAATTGTGTGCGCTATGAAGCACAGACTCATACACATACTACACCGAGTGTGGACATCCAGACACACTCGTTGATGTAGGGGCACACTTCAGACTGGAGTGTCTGGTCTGAACAGCTCTGTAAGGCTGAGAAGTGTCTCCCTAATTAGAGGGAGCCTGGTGCAGGACATCTCTATAGGCCATCAACAGGGCCCTCGCTGGCTTTGTTCAGCAGCCTCTTCTTACACTGAAGCTGTCACTTTACTTTTCTATAAGCCTGAGCTCCTTAACAGTGTTGTGTGTACCCAATCACTGGAACAGTTTGTAGATATTTTCAAGGATATAGCTGCAACACAACAGTCCTGTGATTGTATATTGAAAGAAGAATATCTGATCCATTATTTTAGGACAAAACTTTAAATGCCGTTTATTGATCTTGATCAGGGAACTAAAAGAGTTCAAAAACTCCTGATGAGAGACATTAAATGGCCCTGCTTTGTTTTGTTTATCCGGCTAAGTTGTCACACCATTTTAAGATGTAATTATTTCTATCTCAATTTTGCATAGAAACCTAATTATTCACTGAGATATAAATTAGATTCCACATTCATGGAGACCATGACCCCGCAAACTCCTGCAGGATACTATTCAGGGGCAAGCCTCTTTCTCTCCCCTGCTCTGAGATGGAGAGTAGCCACTGCAGCTGCTATTCACATCAACCAGATAATTGTTAATGAAAAGTCATTGGATGGCATTATGTTGTCCACGGGATCATTGTTCATTTCCCCCCATCGCCACTGAGATCTATATGGAGAACCAGAGTGTTTCCTTTGAGTTTTGGTATTCAGGATCTGTTGCCTGGAAACTAATAAAGGGGCAAATCATCGACTGTATTGGCCAAGATGGGCCGCAGACTGGCCCTGCACAACAATGCAAGGTTTGTAAAAAGGCGTTGAAACAAGTTAATGACGCTTGTTGAACAAAACATTAATGGACTTCTTCACGGTATAATATGGCATGAGATGCGAGGTGAATGGGGAGGACTTTAGCTGCGCACTTTAATAAGTTTGTGTGTTTTTACTACTGGGAGGAGCTGGATATGCACACATACACACTCACCTATTTGATGAACTTGATACTAGAAATTTTGTGCGGGACTGAAAAGAAAAAACAAACTTGCACCTATCTCAGAAGGGATTTAACTTAAAAAAAAAATCCCCCTCTTTTAATTTTAATTTTCAAGTCATTGAATGGGCCGTTGATTAATTGCCCATCAGCATGATTTGAAAAGGGGTTGAATAGTGGAGGGTACTGCTGCACTAAAGGCGCAAAACGTTAGGGAGAAAGAAGAGGCAAAGTGGGAGGTGGGGCCTCGGGAGTTGGACACATTTCTCATTTTTAATCTAACATTTAAACACCCAATAATATTGCACCGGCCCCATTTACTGCACCGACTTCTTAACCGAAGCGGACAAAAAAAATGCACTGCAGCCCTGTCACCCCGAGCAGAATAAAGGGAATCAAAGGATTTTTCCCTTAAATGGACTAATTTTCTCCTTGAATTATGAAAGTAATGGCTAGGTAACAGCCTGTGCTCAGTACCCGACGGCTTAATGCTTCCTAAATCCTTCCACGTGGCTCCACTAGTCCTGGCAATTAGGACTCATTATAGCCTCATAAAGGATCTCATTTGTAGGATTACTTAATAGACAATGAAATTTTATCGTGCAAAATTATGGAAAAATAATATTAGACCTCGCATGGTGAGGCGAGGGCGCGCGCCACGCATCATTCCGCTTGGTTTACTTTCTCTCTCCCGTCCTCTCTCTGGTTCAGGACTGTTATCTGTACCATAACAACTGCGCGTCTTCCTTGTCAAACGCTGAATTCGCTTTATTAGAGCAATTACTGTCTGTGTGACTGACATGTCTGTTTTTATCTTTATTATGGTTGGATTTTAAAGATTTTGTAATTCTCTCAAAGAGTGCATTGAAAGTCACAGCTGACTAAGTGCTTCAGTTGCCTTGTTTGTTGTAAACATGTGTGTTTGCTCTGCGATGATGAGTTTCATACAGCAGGTTTTTCAAGAAAAAAATGGTGACAAATAACTTTTTAAAAGTTGGAATCCACATGAGGCTATTTCTATTTTTTTTTTCTTTTTGGCCTTATTTGTTTTGCTACAGACAGCGGACAACTTAATATCTGCGGTGTTGTACCTGTACCGTCTGCACCTTAACCCCGCTGACGGCTCACATATGAAGGTTCGAGGCGTTACTTGGCAGATGAAAGCAGAAGCTAAACCTACCGGTGACCCGCCTGGGGATCAAACTCGCTAATTATTGTCACAAGATGAGGGATTAACGCATTTCTGAAATAGCTGCCTGTTTACCCCCGCACAGACTGGCCATTATAAACACTTTCTAATTGAATCCTAATCGCCGTCAAATAACCCCAGTCCAGACTCGCCATGAGTTCATAATTCTTTAATTGCTAGAAGTGAAACCTGGACCAACCGGATTCAATGCACGATGAGTCTGCAAAGCAATTATTGCTCATGGTCGCGTGGACAATTCCTTAAATCTCATTTGCGAACTATCAATCCTTAGCCTTGGACATATATCGTTCATTCCTATGTCAGACTTATCAGTAATTTAAAAGAATGTGAATAAACCAGTAACTGACTGCAGGTCAAATTTAGAAAAAAAAAAAGAAAAAGAAAAGAAGAGTGAATCGCGTATGTAAAGCACGTTTTGTCAGAAATTTGAAGTGTTATGGATACTAAACAATCTATTTATATAGTTGCAGGTGTTTCCAAACAGCTGTTCAGTAGTGACAAGTTTGAATTTTCAAATCTCACCAGCACGTTTTAAATGTTCGCAATATCTATCTATCTATCTATCTATCTATCTATCTATCTATCTATCTATCTATCTATCTATCTATCTATCTATCTATCTATCTATCTATCTATCTAT